TAAAAATGTTTTGAGTGTTTAAAATAGAAATAAAAGGTACTATGAAAACAAGAAGATCCTCCTAGAAATGTGTGGCAAATAAAATGTCAATAGGTGTAATGGGGTTACTATGGGGCAAAGAAAGGACAGAAGTGATATTATTATTACTATAGATGTCTCAGTGGGGACTTACTATGTCAAGTATGAAGACTGAAGTCCAGAGCCCTAATGCCCACTATATAAAGGTATCCCACCTATAATTCCAATACTAATGAAACAGGGACAGGGATTCCTGGAGCAAACTAGCCAGCTAGGCTAGCAGAAACAGTGGTTCAACTAAAAAACTAGGTCCTAATGAATGAAGTGTAGATCAATCAGGGGAAATCCCCCACTGTCAGCCTTGAACTTTCACACAGATACTCACACTCATGCAAGTATATACACATATGCTTCCATATAGATTCCCACGCCAACACACATTACACAGAAACATACACACAGAGAGAGGGGTGTTTTAAGAAATAATGGGCTAGCTAAGCACGGTGATACAGACACCTGTAATTCCAGCATTTGGAAGATAGAGCTAGCATGAGGAGTTCAGTTTAAGGGTCAGCCTGGGGTCCATGGATCTTCTCTTAATAAATAAAACAAGCTAGAGGAAACTCAGCATCTAGGAGCACCAGCTGCTCTTCCAGAGGACCCACCTTATGTTCCCAGAATCCATTAGTAGTTGATTCACAACCACCTGCAACTCTAACTGATGTCCTCTTATGGATCTCTGAATTTGAGGCCTGCTAGGGATACAGTGTTACTCTGCCTCACCCCCACCCCATGAAATAAGGAACAAAAAGTCCCCAAAGTTTAAGACAAACATTAACCTCTGAATCCAGAGTTCAAAGATCTGTACACAGAACAAACACAAACAGAACCAAATCTAGATAAATCGGAGTCAAATGTCTGTAAGTCAAAGACAAAATTGTTAAGGCACCAATTATGGGGAAAAAAATAATAAGTAATAAGAAACAATAGGGGGCAAAAACAAACAACAAAAAACACTGTAATAACCTATCTAAGTGCAAATAAAGACCAAAGAATACATGCACTTTTAAACTGTCAAACAAATTCACAAACACTGTTAACAGTTTGTTTATTCTCCCTCTGGTATTATATTCCTGGAACTTCAGATATTATCAAAATTCTTTCATCTTTACCCAATCTAAAATACTAAAAACAACAAAAGGAAAAAACAACAACAACAAACCCAAAAGACCTTTTAAGTTGGAGCATCAAATTTTGATTTACACTTACATGAATTTTGTATTAATTTAAATTATTTTTATTATAATCTGCTTGCTTATTCTATGGGTGTATCATTTTTGCTGACTCTTTTGGGAGTATGCATTATATATGTTATATACATGCAGGTCAGAGGTTAACCTTAAGTGTTGTTACTCCGGTGACATTAATTTTGGATTTGAGACGACCTCTTGTGCATTGGGATTGATTACAAGAACATGTAACCAAGCTTGACTTTTTCCCTTTTTCCAAATGTGGGTTATAGAGATCAAACTCAAGTCCTCATGCTTGCACAGCAGACACTGTAACAACAGTTACCTCCCCACAACTGGAATATTATCTGCTTAACGATCCCATGATTTCAAGGAAACAAGGCACAATGGTTTTCTTAGATATTTGCCCATTTTCTATCTAGTCCTCGCCCAAATAGTACTTTAATTACTATCATGTAAAACAGATATGAAAATAAGCTCAGAGGAAGGAGTTCCCCAACTCTGATCCTGAATTTCCAATACATTTAGTTTCAGTGTGTACATGTTGAAAGATAATGCTTACAACTTGTTAAGTGATAAGAACAACTTGTTAAGTCTAACTAGCAATGACATTAACAGGCTTAAATTGATTTCTTTAATTAAAAAGATGTTCTAATACATAAGGAGACTAGAATATCTAGAGATCAAATATCTACTTCAGTATGAAATCTACTGGGCGATAGCTGACAGCTCATCTCCCTGAATTACCATAATTCCCCCATCGTTTACTCATAACTCACTGCAGACTAATATCTACTGTCATGCTAGTAAAATTGTTTTGTAGTAAGGAAACCTAATGATCTGTTTTCACTGTTATTCTTGTTTATAATTCTGGAAAAGTAACATCACCAGTGACCTCTTGATAACATTCTCTACTCCTTTGGTTTCTCTATTTTTCATTCAAAGCATCATTTAAGTCTAAGTGTCTGACTACATCTAACTTACGTGCTCTCTTTTCAAGCTGAAGACTGCATTCCATTATGTAGCATAAACTGGCCTCAGCCTCTTGAGTGTACCATGCATGACTACTACTCTTCTTTCAACTCAAAGTTTAAGCCTCTACGACTTCAGTCTTTTTCTTTTTTTCATCCTACACTTCCTCCAGGAGCAATGGTTTCCTCTCTTGTTACCTTAATGTTATTTACCTGTTTAATGGATTTCAAACCTTAAGAGTTCCTGACTAATACATCAAATTGAAAATCCATACAAGTTTTCATATCACACAATCTGCTTTGTTTCTAAATTCTGTTGCTCCCACTGAATTACTGCCTCCTAAATCTTTACCCTACAGTATAAACATCTGGTAAACATCTCATCCCGTTACTTCCCCGTTCTAAAGCATTCTCCACTACACCAGAGTTGCATTTCTAAAACACACATCATATTACTCAAGTCTTGACTAGTATCTGTGACAAAACCATGACAAACTGTCAAACTCTTTCCATCCACATCACTAATTAAACCCTCCCCCTTTGATCTAAGAGAAAAGCTCATCAATATTTAAAACCTGACATTTTATATTTAATCAATATTACCCAGCCATTTTTACTACTTTTATTTCTAGTCTTAAGGGATAATGTTTCCTTCTAATACTGCCTTACATATACAATGTACTTATGTGACACTTATTATTGTGAACTTTTTGGGAAATGGCACTGTAGGTGTGATAACAACGAAGTACCCAGTAATTTCTGGAATGAATGAAAAGATACAGTGCACTGGATGGCAGGATGAAACTAACACACTGAAGAAAGAATACAATGAATAAGGATGTACTAGGGGGACAAGATAAAAACAAGTGGAAGAGTAGTGGTAGCTGATTTATTTTGGTAGCCGAAAACAGTAATGGAAATAGCTCTTAAGACAAACAAGATTAATACAGAACTAGTAATAGCAATAAATATATTCTAAATAAACCAAAATAGACTGAAGTTTTTAAGAAGGCAGAATGGGAGCAGGTGGTGGTGTTGGTGGTGGCGGCACACACCTTTAATCCCAGCACTCATGAGACAGAGGAGGGTGGATCTGAGCTCAAGAACAGCCTGGTCTACACAGAGAAACCCAGTCTCGAAAAATAATGATGGTGGTGGTGGTGGTGGTGGTGGTGGTGGTGGTGGTGGTGGTGGTGGTGGTGGTGGAGGAGGAAGAGGAGGAGGAAGCAGCAGCATGCTGGGATGCGTGTTACACGCACACACATAAAATAAAAATTTTCCTTTAAACGGAATAGGTGAGCTTAAAAGGTTGTGCTGGTTGGGTTAATTTAGCATTAATAAGTTAAAATTACTCATTAAAACACACTGCTGTTGTTTTATTTTATTACTTTTTAATCACAGATAAATTTTTTTATTGAAAAAAATTTCCGCCTCCTCTCCCCCTCCCCCCACAGATAAATTTTATGTATAAGGAATTTCTTAAAACTAATTATACAAATTGTTTATGGATCATTTAAGACCTCCATCTGCTTGGCACCCTGGAATGATAACTTGAGGGCACAAGGACCTTGGCTCAGGAACTAAGCAGCTTAGTTTTGGAAATTCACTAGCTTCTTTTTCCAAATTTCTGTTTTCCATTCAAACAGAATATTTGTACAAGAGAACAATTGGTTTACAGCTTCCAGCTGCAGTGCCTTTGAAATTAGAAGCAGTATTTTAGCAGACACCACTGTATCCCCAGGCAGTGCAGTGAGTGGCTAATAAAGAATGTTCTGGCACAGCCTTCTGTTTCTTTAAGGCAGTCTTCTGTAGGGTTTAAGTGTTGGAGATCCTCAAAGGCTGCCAGACTCAGCTGCATCATAAGCTGAGTGTGGCCGTTTGAATTTAACTGCCCCCCCCACCCCCAAGCTCTATTAGGAGGTGTGTTCAAGTAGGGAGGGATAGCCTTGCTGGAGGAAGTATGTCAGTGTGTGTGTGGGTGGGCTTAGAGGTCTCTTTTGCTCAGGCTTCCCTAGGTAAGACTGTCAGCTGACTTCCTGTTGCCTACAGGATGTAGAAATCTCAGTTACAGCTAGCTACAGCACCATGTCTGTCTGTATTCTGCCACGTCCCACCATGATGATAATGGACTAAACCTCAGAACTGTAAAAACAAGCCACCCCAACTAAATGTTTCCTTTTTAAGAGTTGCTGTGGTCAGTGTGGCTTCATAGCCACAGAAACGCTGACTAGACACCTAGTTTCTTCTTTGTGAAAACTCTTTTCTTTGTCTGGCATTATGTACCTGCAAGGAGTCTTATCTGTTAATGATCCTCTCTTTTTAAATCAACACACATATTTTCATGAGTCACATCACTTTTTATTATTTTCCATTTTTGTTTTGTTTTTGGTAGGTACTGGAAATCAAAGCCCAGAGCTCATATAGGCTGGGCAACTCACTGAGCAGCACTCCCAGCCTTCAGCTCTCTCCCTGATTCTCTGCCTTAGCCTCTTTCCCAGACGACATCAATTAACACATTCATTATCACATCATATAATTTTGAAATTTAACTAAATTAAGCAACCACATAATTCCAAATTTATCATTAAGAGTGACTTTTAAGCACATTGCAAGTATCTTTTTGTATTATAAAGGAATAAGTGTAGAACATAAAGCGTCTTCAGAATTTAAATAATTAACTTTCTTGAAGGTACTCAATCAAAGGTAATTAATTGGCTTAACCAATAAAACGAAACATACAGACCCTGAAATAAATACTTACATAACTGTGTTGTCATCCACTAAGATATCACAACCATGAGCAGGACACGAAATAGTCTGGAAAAGATCAAAATTTAAACTTCTTCATTGAACAATATTTATACGACGCCAGGCAGTTTGCTAGGTTCTGATAATACTTTCCAGTTTGCAGGATCTCAATCCTTTCCGTTTGTATTACAGGAAAGACATTTTTGAGTGTAACTATCCTTGTAAGCAATTGTTTGTTTTTTTTCTTCACCAAAAAAAAAAAAAGTTACAAGCAAAATACAAAGTTCTCTATCAGGGAGAACCTGACAGAGATTATCAGGGCTGATAAATGATGGAACCACATTATCTAGATTAAACTGTTAAATGGAAAGTCTTTTTTTTCTTAAGCCTGTTTTAATCTAGAAAAATGTTTAATCCCAAAATTTTTACCTGGCTATAGTTATCCAACGACATAAAAATCAAATTACCTGTCCCATGCCTTCCTCCATTATTTTGGTAGTTAAATATTCACTCCAGCACTGCATACAAAACTTATGTCCACATTCAAGGCCAGTAAAATACTGTAACAAAAACAAAACATGATATTTAACAAGAATTTCATTAAAAGAAAGTTGAACTAACTACATAGTGCCTCAGAGCTTTATTATCTCACAATTCTCATAGTAGTTAAAATGTCCATTTGACAAAAACCAAACAGGTCCTAAAATTTAACTTCTATATGATAAAATCTAGACATGTGAATACTTCGAACAGTCTACCTGATTAATAGGAAATACATGCCATTGATACAAATTTTACAAAGGTAGACATGTTTAAATTAAATATATGAAGATTTCATGGGCTACTATGGAGATTAAATCAAACCACAATGAGACACTATGTCACACTCACTACAAGAGCTGTTTCGTAAGAATGTGAAAGGATACCACAACTCTGGAAAACAACTAAGCAACAATTACTTCAAAATATTAATGCAGCTGTTATAACCTCTCTCCTGGTTACTTTTCTAGTGTAGTGACAAGGCAACATATAAAAGAATGTTTAATTTGGGGCTCCAAGTCTACAGTCCATGGCCAACATGGCAGCACGGCAGCAGGCAGGCGTGTATCTGATCCACAAACACAAGACAGAAGAGAGCTGAGTGGAAATGGCATAGGTTTTCTGAAACCCCAAAACCAACCCAAGAGACACACTTCTGACAATCACAAACCTCCTAATCCTTCACAAACAGCCACCAACTAGGGGTCAAACATTCAGATATATGAATCTATGGTGCCCACTCTCATTTAAAACATACTGACCCAGCCAGTATATTCTGAGAAATTAAAACACACATCCTTATAAAAATTTATGCACAGTATTTACATTAGCACCATGCATAATAGCCAAAATACAGAAACTCAGATATTCATCAACAAACAGATGAGGAACAGCTATATAAAGGCATATATAGTCACAAAAAAGAATTGAGTTCTGATAGATACTATAACATGAAATGAACCCAGAAAACATGCTAAATTAAAACAGCCAATGACAAAAGGACTCACACAGTTTCTATTTAGATAAAAGGTACAAAACAATAAATCCTTAGAAAATGTTTGCCATGGGCTTTATATCTGTAGTGAAAGGAGGATGACTACCAAAAAATATAGGTTTTTTTTAAAGGTGAATGGGAATTATAATAATACTTAAAATTTAAAAATTATGAAGGTCATACAAGGATAAAAATATAGCAAGGTGTGCAAGGATAGTTACAAAAGCACTAACTCTAAAATGGTATTTTTAAATGTTTCTGTTTTCTTCTCCTTTCATTTCCCCCCTTTCTTTTTGGTTTTCCAAAACAGGGTTTCTCTATGTAGCTGTCCTGGAACTCAGTATGTATGTAGACCAAGCTGAGCTTGAATTCAGATCTGCCTGCCTTCCTCCCAAGTGCTGACATGCACAGCTTTAAATGTTTTGCAAATACATACAGAACTTCATGGAATTACAAAGAATGTAAAAATTAAATTCTGTAGTAAACTGAGAAATTTATTATGAAGCAGGTATAGTAGCATATGTCTATAATCTAGAACTTAGTGGTGCCTTTAATATCAGGGAAGCAGTTGCAGGTGGATCTCTGTGAATTTGAAGTCAGTCTGGTCTACAGAGCAAGTTCAGCTAGGTAAATGAAGGGTGTGGTCGACCGGTAGTCAGAATTAACCAGACCAGCTCAAAAACAAGGAATATAATTTTAATAATTTTGAGCAAGAGAAACTCACACGACCGGGATCCAGCGAGAATCACGCGCAACCAAATGAATACAAAACAAGGGGCGGGCACCTGGATGCCCAGGTCCTTCTTCCAGCTCCCCAAGGGCCCACACCCTAGCCAAATGTGATTGGCTGAGCTTCCCCATCATCTCCCCCTTTTGTCTAAACAAATCGAACCAAACCCAATACAACTATATACAATAGGAATAGATACCAAATATAAAATTATAAGCAACAAACAATATTAAGCAAGAAACATATAACAAAAGTTTTACTAAGCATTCTATTTCAAGGAGTCTAAATAATGTATTGAAATTGAGTTTATCTAAATCATGAGGAGGGTAACTACAATTTTCTAATCTTCAACTCCATCAAAGATCTGAGAAGGGAAGTAATATTACTTGAGTAAACAGGAAGTACAATCTAGAAACTTCCAAAATGTGCAACAAATGACAGAGACAACTGCCTACCTGTGCAATCACCCAAAGTCTCATTTGCAATGTTGAGGCAACCAACTTTGGCTAAGATCTAACGTAACTGACACACCATTTTCAAAGGTGAGAAACCTTTTAGAACTATCTTACCCTGTCTTGGCAGGATAAGACAATCCTGTTTTTATCCATTTATGGATATCCTGTACCTCTGTCAGTGGTAGAGGAATGGGCTTTTCTTTGCACAAAGGCCAGTTCTGCCAAGAAGAAGACAAACTCCAAGTAGAGTGTCTTTGGTGCTCAACATTCTCTCGGGAGTAGAGCGGTGTTGCCAGGAGTGATTGATTGTGTCTCACTACCATGAAACTCTAAGTTAGATTAAAGGCCATTTTCTACAGCTCTTCGAAGAGGTTGAAGATTATATTATCTATACTAAATATAATCTCTATGTATCTAAAGAACCTGATTAGCCTAAATATAAATATGACAAACATATATGACTATTGATTTATAATTCTCGATAATACCTATCTAACTTGAAGACTAAGAGAATAAACAACTGTCCAAGAAATAAGGACAATGACCTCCAAATGTAAACAATGTATATCATTACATAAACAATATATAAGTATCTTAATCAGAGGTAGAAATGTACATTGCAATATAGTAAATATACATATCAATACAATATATATAAATACATAACAAATGTTTTAAACAGAGGTAGAAGCATACTCACATACAATATTCAATATAATTTAACTTTGTATCAACATACAAGAATTGATACCAATATAATTTTCTAAAAACAATAACTTATAAATACCAATCTATTATCCCATCAACAGGTATACACTGAAAAACCTTAAAAAAAAAAAAGAAAGAAAAAAGAAAAACCTTGTCTCAAAAAAAAAAAAAAGAATATAACCCAGTGCTCAAACACTTGCCTACAAGTCTGAGACCCTAGAATTATTTCCCATAACTATAAAATAAACAAGTAATTAAGATAATAGTAAGCCCATATGTACATGCCTACAGTTTCAGCAAAATGAGGCTCAGAGCAAGAGAAAGGAAGAGATTTGGACAGCACGAGTCACAAAGAACTAAGAAAAACTAATAATAGATTTTGTTCTAACTTTGAGGTGATGGCTGAACAAAGTATAGTGTTTGAACTCAAACAAAAGGTTAACTTGTTTAGATTTCAGAACATTTTACAGGGCTGATATGGTTCAGTGGCAGTTTTTTTGTCTAGTTTTTCTGATGTCCTAGCTTAGATTCTCTCCCACTGCCAAATAAATACATAAAACGTCAACACAAAAAAGCAAGTTTACAATATTTATGACTTTTTATTTAAGCTTTTTAAGCAACACATTTAAAAACACATTGTAAAAACCGTCAAAGAAGTTTAAAAATATTCTATTTTAAAAATAAAATCAATGTCACCTGCATAAACCAATTTTAGCTAGAATGGTCACACCACTTTTACAATTCCTTTAGTTGTGATATAAAGGAGTCCGCAAGTTTTTCGTAGGGACCACCATTCACCATTTTTGCCTTTTTCGGGTGCACGACACTAGCATGCTGGTACCTACCTTCTCGAAATAATAAACGCTCTAGCTGATTGCAAAAAATAAATAAATAAAATCAATTACCTCATTTTCCACGTTAAGCTGGTAAAGCTGTGTTAACATGGATGTGAGAATTTTTAAGCAATGCTATGAGCAGGTATGACTACAAGTGGCATGTGCCTGTACTCTCAGTTGTTTGGGGGACTGAGACAAACAAGAGGTCTGGGCTACTCTATCAGGTGCCTGCACTTAGCAGCAGCAGTGGAGTGGCACCTGTGAGCAGTCACTGAGCGGCACCTTGAAATAGTATCACTTTTAAAAAGACAACAAATTCTTTTGAGTGAGTGATTACGTGGAAAAATTAATCCCCTTGTTTATGCCCTATTCCATTTCCTTTATCAGAAATGGCTGTTGTTTTCATTTCTGAAGTGTACTTGCAGAGACATTCTAACATACACATACAGTATGAGAACCTTATGCTTTCCTTGGTACTTTGTTACTTTTGTTGTTTGGGTTTTTAATTTCTGCTGGGGCCCCATAACTGTACAAACATTTACCCATTCCCTGTTCTTTACACAGTTCTATTATTTTTAATTATGTGTATATGTGAGGGGATGGAGGAAATGTGTACGTGTAGGTGGCCAAGGAGAGCTTGAGTTACAGCTAGCCAATGTAGGTGCTGGGAACAGAAGTAAGTGTTCTTTCTGGTCCCATGGTTTACCTCCTTTTAAACCACAATTTCTTTAACTGTTCATTCACTATTAATGAAACAAAAGATTTTTCCTACCACTCTGTCACACTGACTGTAATACACGTTGCAACCATGTGACTTCTTAAGAGGGATACATAAAAGATGACAGGTATACAAGTACAATTTAACATTTATTATTAGGTACTTTTATAAGAACTGGTAGCAGTTCTGACTGAGCAGTAGTATAAAGTTTCTCATACACATGTCGGAGCTTTCACCAATCTAACATAAAAAAACAAAATAAATGATTTGGTCTTTAAAATATATTTTTGCACATTCTTTTGAGGTTTTTGTTTTTTGAGACATAGTTTCTCTGTGTATCCCTGGCTGTCCTTAAATCAGATATCCACTTGCCTCTGCCTCCCAGAGTGCTGGGATTAAAGGTATCCCTCATCATACCTGACTGTTCTTTGAGAATTATTTACAAAGCAAATTTTTTAAAATCATATTTACCTTCATTACTCCCCTAACTCCTCCCAGATCCACTCCTCCTCCAAATAATTTTAATTTCATTTTTAAAAATAAAGAATGAAGTTTCAACTTTGCAAGGGTGTGTGTGTG